TCTGATCGTATCTAAAATTCACCATTAGAAAATGAACTTATAAAAACAATAACGTTTATGAAACTTAAACAAACTGTAGTTACTAGAGTTGAACAAAACAAGAACAACAAAGGTACCAGGATAGCGTGAAGTTATCTTTTCTTATTTTGAGGATTCTTCTCAACTGGCTACAACGTGGACAATACAAAATGCAAGTTACAATAAACGTCTAAACATACTTTTATCACGATAACAAGGAGCAGTTGATGGAAACTAAGAGTAGCCCAAGTCCGGAATGATGTCAGTTGTTAAGTAATTAAGGGTTGAAAAGATTGACTATCTATTAGATAGACCACGGATTGACATCATTTAGAAAATCATTGAAAACCAGCACTGGTTAACTAGACAGTGATTCATCCTAGTGCTTGGAACTCATCGGCGGTTCGCAACCACCACCAGGGCTCGAACTCAGGACCTTCCGGTTACAAGGCAAGCTAGTTTACACTCACCCACTGAGACTCGATTCAATGACCAGCCCATGAATTCTAACTTCTACTAATTTGTGATCCTGAGTCCAAAACTTAGTGGGTGCATGCTGCCGATGAATCCCAAACTAGGATGAGACAGCCGTCCAATACTCCAGTGCTGATTTTCAACGGTTCTCTTACTGAACAAATACAGTCCCTACAAACAAATTCTTGAGAATACAGTTCGAACCTTGTGGGGTAGAATCAAAGTTTAACTAGAAAGAGTGTGACACTGTAACAAGTTATGTAACTGCAGAAAATTTGCTTTTAGAAAATAATAAAAAGAAGAGTAGGATGAATACTGTTCTAGTTAAACTTCATTTTCCCCCACTCCCAAAAAAATACAAAACATTTTAACGGTTTCCTCAAGAGTATTAGTCCAACAGCCCCATAAATCGTCATTCCTTTTTAGTTAGACAATTATTTCAGTAATTTAATAATTCTTATTGTCAATTAGATCCTCATCTCTGACTATACTCCAATATATATGGAAATTTTATTACAATACACAACAATTTACCAAAAAAAGTGGCACTGATATGTTTTTTAACAATAATTAGTCAGTGTCAACATGTCAGTGAGGTGATAATTAACGAAGAAAATTAATACACACAATTAAAAATCAAAAATTTCCACAACAAGTGGATTACATAATGCATAATTTTTGCAAAAATGAAGAGTAATTAAGGAATAAGCGTGTACTGAATTTGATTACGCAACAGATTGTTAAAGAAAAACAGAGTGATTTGGACAATGATAACTTGTAATTAAAGATTAGGTAGTCAGAGAAATAATCTGGACAACTATAACTTTTAAATGGCTTAGGGCGTGGGCGAAATAGTCCGGTTTATATACACATGTAACCATGACCAATGGTAAGAAAAGTGGCTGTACAAATTTCTTCTTATCAAACACACACACACAGGTTCAGCCTCTTCAGGTGGATTCCTGTAACTTCATTCAGCTGTATATGTAGAAGATGAACTCGTAGAGAAAAATTAAGAATAGTGGGAATGCGATAAACAATTTTAAATGCTGTATTAACATCAACTTGATGCTCACTAATTATAAGGTGTGCTAAAACAGAGTTTAGCAGTATAAGTTTACAAATTTACTTTTATACTACTTCTGAGTAAAATAGAACAACTCAAATAAAAATTCCCTTTAGATTGATCATTTTTCAAATAGTATAAATGAAATAATGATACTTAAACTTTGTCTTAACTACATGATTTATTTTGCTATCTTATCAGCATTTAAAATATTTTCAAACATTCTGCTGCTATCGAAAATGTTGACTACTTCATGTTTGATCACGAATTGACATCAGTTAGAGAACCATTGAAAGCCAGCACTGGACTACTGGACAGCTGATTCGTCCTAGCGCCTGGGACTCGTCGGCGCTATACACTCACCACCAGGGTTCGAACTCAGGACCTTCCAGTTACAAGGTAAGCTCTTTTACACTCACCCACTGGGACCTGACTCAATGACCAGCCCATGAATTCTAACTTCTACCAATTCGTGATCTTATTCTCGCTATCGACTGATTGTGGGACAACGTTACCTGGAATTCTAGTGAGAAGCTGTGATGAGTGGAGTCTACCAGGTTGGGAGTGAGAACAAATACTCGACGATGACATTGGTTGGTGGTCGCGCTAAATCATAAATTGGTAAAAGTTAGAATTCATTGGCTGGTCACTGAACTGGATCCCAGTGGCTGAGTGTAAACGAGCTTGCCTTGTAACCAGAAAGTCCTGAGTTCGAACCCTGGTGGTGGTTTCACACTGCTGATGAGTTCCAATCACCAGGACGAATCAGCTGTCCATTTCTTCAGTGATGGCTTTCAATGGTTCTCTAAGTGATATCAGTCCATGGTCATCTTGAAGCAAATGAAATCTCTTCAAGCAAACTCTTGAAAATGTTGTTTATATCGTTACTATAAATATACTACTAAATTATATTAAACTCATTAAATTTTTAATGTTTTACTAAAATATGACTTGTACAGAAGCCGTTTGTTGCGAAACTTCACGTTCCTAAGTAACTGACAGGACTGCAAATTTGTTTCGATAAGTATAGCCGCCTAATAAGTCAACAACGAGAGGCATATTTAGCTAAGCTACTTCTGATTTTGTCTACCCTACTGGTGAACACTAAAAATTATCAATCGAATTCACAGTTTGCAAACTGGTTCACAGTTATTCAAAGTAATTCGCAATTTATGGTATCACCAGTTCACCCAAGTATCTAGGCAGAAATCATGTGGTTTGTGAACTGATTCAGCTCTTTGAGACGACGATATTCTGGTGTTTAGATCATTTCCATTTTGACTGGCTGTGTATGGTATTCAACTACTCATTTACATTAATCAGTAGTATATACTCTGAAACAGTTCCCTTTATGAATTTAAACAGAGCAATAAGAAGACATAATTTGTCTGTATCGTGAAATGTGTTTGAGTGCAAACACAAATTGAACAATCGGATTACACACAACTTGTCATAGGAATACATATACATCAAAAATAATTAAGAATTAAGAGTCCAGAAAATATAGGTTAATTCAAGTTAGAAGGAGACATTGAAGGTCCACTTAACAATGAAGATCACTAATCCAAAGAGAGGAGATAATAGTACATCTGCCCTGGTTGGTATCAAAACAAACTTTAACAGGGAAGGTTTAGTGTGATGACGAATTGTTGCTTTGAACGCAGAAAGGCAGTTTGAACTTCCTGACTGCTAGGGAATCTACAAACGTAAGGATATGACCCAAACACGTTTTGTAGATTGGTATAAAAGAAGTATAAACATCAATTTTATGTCCTGTGTGTATAAAATGTTTCCCAACAGAGAAGCTAGTTCACCTGTTTTCACCGGTTCTCATATATATATTCCTTATTTGTTGTGACCACCCCAAACACTCCTCTAACCAAATCATATCTCAGCTGACATTGCCTGTCGAGGAAGGCAATGGCTCAGTAAGCACTATTTCAGTCGATTCACCTCCACAACCTGATCGACTGACTCACTCTCCTTGCCCAACATCCTGCGCCCAACTTCAATATTACTCACCATATTATACCGCTCACTACGTGAGATAGAAAGCAAACATCTGTGCTCAAAGACACCTAACCTTTTCATATCTTCCACTTACAATGACCATGTCTCACAGCTAGTAAAAAAGGAAAAAGTGAACTGTTGAGCAGCACAAAAATCTTTCCACCAGCAACTGGGCATTACATCTACGCTTCAGCTGAAGTAAGTTCGCATGTGCTACACGAGCCTTCTGTATCCTTGCTGAAATTTCCTCGTCAATAAATCCGTTAGGCCTGATGCAGCTACACAAATAAGTGAAATGGTCGACAAGATCAGTCACTTCGCTTCGTATCTTTAAACTAGGAGTCCGTTCAGACCAGTCCAAAAGCATCATCTTACACTTGATCTAACTGAATAGAATTCCAAACATTCGAAGATTGCTCCTCAAGGTTTTCAGAAGACTCTGAAGTTTAACAGTGTCTTCACCTAGGAGCAGGACTATATTGTCCGCATACTCTAAGTCAGTAAGACTGTTTTCTGGTAAGTCTCTAAGTCAGCTAGGATCAATTTCGTAAGTACACCTATTATGAAATTAAACAAAAAGTGAGCGAAATGGGCATCTCCGACAGACACCACTTGTTGTCATGAATCCAGATGACCAACTGTTTATAAGCTCTTACCGGTCTGTGTGAGTTCGATTAGACTGCCTTTAATTATTGCAATATACTTTCCCAGCACTCACTTCATGGCCAAGTATTGGCAAAGTACCTCTAGATCGATGGAGTCAAATTCCACCTTCAGGTCAAGAAATATGACAAGTAAAAAGAAATGATCAACACGCAGGTGAAGAAACTGTCATTTTCAGATATTTTAATTTCTGTACTCTAGTTCGAAAATATTAAGGTTTGTCTTCTCTTGTCCTTTACCAGAATACCCATAATTTTCAAGTATTGGTTTTGTAGGGATTTTGTTTAATTGGTTAGAGGATTTCATAATGAGCTGACATCAATTAGAAACCCATTGAAAAACCTAGGAGTACTGGACAGCTGTTTCGTCTTAGTGCTTGGGACTCACCACCAGGGTTTGAAACCAGGACCTTCTGGTTACAAGGCGAGGTAACAGAATATTAAGCCACTGAGACCCCAGCTCGCCTTGTAACCAGAAGGTCCTGGGTTCGAACCCTGGTGGTGGGTGCGTACTGCTGAATAATAGTCCCAAACTAGGACGAAACAGCTGTCCAGTGCTCTAACCGATATCAGCTCATAATGAAATCCTCCATCCAGTACCCACACTGTTTACTGAGTGCACTTTAGCAAATGAGGAGTGAAAAAGAATATCTTCCCTATAAGTATTTCAGGTTTACATTTTTTTTGTCTGAGATATCATTGTTTAATTGTATTATTCAATTAGTTAATCCTCCAAAATGCCTTATTTGTACAAATAATTTTAATTTTAGATACATATACTATGATGAAATGGTGTTCACAGGTGTTGTTGGAACAATAAGAACACTATATGCTGCTAGGAAATATTGTTTTTATGATTTAGCTCGAGCTTGTGTCAACTATCTCGAGAATAATGTATGCATTGAACATGTATTAAAATTATTAAAAGCAAGTTTTGATTTCAATGAACCACGATTAAGAAATTTATGCATGCGACTTATTATCAATGATACATTTGAAGTATTGAAACGTAAAGAATTTAAAGATGTTCATAAAGACTTAATTGTACAAATATTAAAACAAGATGTTTTAAATATTCGTGAAATTGAATTATTTGATCAAGTTATGCATTGGGCTGAAAATGAATGTGAACGCATAGGGATACCAGTGACAGCAATGAATCAACGTATTGCTTTAGGGAATCATAATTTCGCGCTGATACGATTTCCAACTATTCTGCCGCATGAATTTGCAACGCATATTGTTGAAAGTGGAGCATTAAAAACAGATGAAATTATTTCTATATTACAGTATTATATAACAGGTTAGTTTATATTGTTTTGTTTTTTCATAAGTTAAATGTCCACTCTATAAACTTCTAGCCATATTCAAGTATTGGCTTTGTAGGGATTTTGTTTGATTGGATGGAGGAATTCATCATAAGCAGACATCAGTCAGAAAACCATTGAAAGACCTGTGAGTACGAGACACCTGTTTCTTACTAGTTTGGGACTCTTCATTAGTACACACCCACCGCAGGGGTTCGAATCCAGGACCTTTGGGTTACAAGGCGAGCTAGCTTGTAGACCATTGAGCCACTGGGACCCGATCTAATTGCCAGTCGATGAATTCTAACTTCTACCAATTTACAACACAGCGCGACCATTTCGCAATGTCTTCTTCGATGAGTTACTGCCTCATCTTCAATTTTCTGTACCCTACTGGTCACGGCTTTCCACTAATTACTAATTCTGATCATTTAATCTTCACTATGAAGCTGGCTGAGGCAGCTGTCGCTGAAAGTCCGTAACCTGCTTGCCATTTGATTGGATGATGTTCTTCTTTTTTAAAAATGCGCAATGCATGTTCAAAAATCAATTTTGAGAGATTTAAACATAAGTTACTGATGTTAATCGATGCTCAGTGTACTGAAGAAGCTCTACGCAGCTTTAAAAACGATTACTATTCGCATTTATTTCTGTGATTTATACTCTTCTTAGAGTAGAAAAATAGTAAGTTTTTGTGTAATTTCGTCTTTTGAATTTAAGTGAAACCGTAACTAGGCAAGAAACTGTTTTCTACTGCGGTAACAACAGAAGGCAAGATACAGAAGTAAAGGTACATTTTTCATTGATCAAACCTCTGTTTATATCTATACAGATTTATGTTCTTTAACCAATCATTGAGCATGTGATTTTGGTCTACATTAAACGACATGAAATGGAATGTTCAGATATACGTAGTACTCTGTTGCTAATGCTGTACTAAACTGTGGGAATATTTGAGAATAATTTTCCTTTGGATCACATTCTTTGTATCACACCACACTACTACTACTTATTATAATTGTTCCATCGGGTTCTGTGTGGAATACAGGGCTTCAACAGCGCATCTCGATTCTATCCTGTTCTCCACAGTCTTCCTTAGGGGACCATAAGACTCCCCATAAGCTTTCATCTCTTCTTCACATGGTCACTTCCATGTCATCCTCGGAAACCCCACTCGTCGTTTCCCACTCAGATTCCACTAGAGTGATGGCCTGGCCTATGATATCACCCAGCTGTCTCCTTCGGGTGTGCCAAGTCCACCCCCAATGTCTTCGTCAAATTTGTTGAGTAATAGGTTCTTTGCTGATTCATTTCCATAATTTCTTGTTACTAATTCAATATGGAGCTAGCTAAGGCAACTGTCGCTAAAAGTCTGCAACCGGCTAGAAATGCTTCGTTGACACACATGTCAAGTTTCTGACCTAACATTTGTTTCGAAAATCCGAAGCTTGTTCTTTATGCGCTGATTGCAGAGCATTTCCAAACTGATTTCAGAGTGATGAAGGTGTGCCTTGCCTTTCCCAACCTGGCTGACTTTAACATTGTCATTCATACCACCTGTGTTTGGAATCATGATGCCTAGATTAACGAAGGAAGTAACCTCTTCCAAATTTCTCCCAATGACAGTGATTGGTGATGGTTGTTGTCATTGGTCGGTGAGTATCTTCATCACCTCTATCTTCTCTATGTTCACTTGAAGTCCTGTCTTCACTGTATGGTTCTTCAGCCACTTTTTTGGTTTTCTCCCGTAAGTCTTCGAGTTTGTGAATAATTGGAAACCAATCACGTCATCCAGTAGTACTTGCTAGTGAGAATGGAATGATGGTTAATTTGCACTTCTTTCTAAGCTTAGTCAATTAGACTCCAGTTAGAGAGCTGAGTCTTTTCAAAACAACCAAATTCTATCTACTAAGAATATTTAAAATTAAATTTGTCTTCAGGTGTTGGTAGTTTGCCGGGGATTTGATTGATTTCAAGTTTGTTAATGAAGTGACTTCAATTTGAGGACCATTAGAAACCACCGAGTACTGAATAACTGTTTTGTCCTTGCCTGGGACTCTTTGGCAGTACTCACCCGTCATCCCACCGGCTAAGCATCAAACCCAGAACCTTCAAGCTACAGGGTGAGCTCGTTGACTATTCAGCCACTAGAATGGGATCCAGTAGCCTATGTATTTCAACTGCTTCCAATTCCCGATACATATCTCAAACCACTAGTCAACCTTATGAGTAAGTATCTGTCCTTACAGTCATCTTGGTGTAGCCCACTAGTCACAAATTCCTACTGGAACTTTACGCAAATTCATCCTTTAGTCCATCGTCAGTAAGTACTAGATTAATTTTTAAGTGTTGGTTCACAGGGATTCGACTGATTTCATGCTGTCCAGTACTCCTTAATTTTTAATGTTTCACTAACAGGAATCGGTTCGTCATCAAACTTGAAAACAAATTTTGTATTTGCTAATTGTATATTTTGAGGCAGTTTAGCCCTATCCTTCACCCTGATCTGAGTCCAGTTGGTTACACTAATTGATTAACCTCAAAAGAGCTCTCTGAAGTTTAGATCAGTTTATTTTGGCTAGTAAACCATACTGGATGATGTAACTGGATCCCAGTTACGTATATCAGTCGACATTATATGCCACCTTGTTGTACTGCTTGTTTTCTTGACCATAACTTATAGCACCAAGCAAATCATATTTTATAATCTCAACTTTTGGTTACCAAAAGTAATCAATGGCGAATTTTCACCTTGGAATATATTATTTGAAAATGGCTCACTAAATTCGAAACGTACTCCTTTGGTTTTCAAGTGGGACAGTTGGCTTCAACAGCATATCTCCCCTTCACTCTGCTCTGTAGCTGTTTTTAGGTGATCCCACGATTGACTATAAGTATTCTTCTCCTTCCCACAACCTCCTCCACATTCTTCTCCAGCCGGGACCCATCCTGGTCCCACTCGACAGCCTGGCGCGTGACGTTACCCAACGATATTCTCAGCATATATCCACTCTACCTCCATTTTCTTCAGCGTATTTATTGGGCAATAGGGTGCTTCTGATTGGTTCGTTTCCAGAGTTATTTGTTCTCTATCCTTTGTTGCCATGTGATCTTCAGCACGGAGAAAAGGAGGCAGCTACTGATAAAAGTCTCCAGCAGTCCGTTGGAAGTGATTTTGGTGATCTGTGAAATAATTCTCTGAACAATAAGGAAACACTGAATCGACATTAGTTGGTGAAAGTCCGTATCTCAACCTTTGTCCTGAGTGCCTCAGATTTCCATACTCATCTTGGATTAATGAAGATCTTAGTGGCTTCTTCTATCCCGCCTTTGATATTCGAATCTGTGCCGCCTGTATCTGAAACAGCGCTGTCTAGATAAGCGAAAGAAGTGACTTCGTTTAGATCTCTCCTAATGATAGTGTTTGATGCTTGTCGTTGTCGGTTGGTTACCTTCACTACCTCTGTCTTCTGTATGTCCACTTGAAGTCCCATCTTTGCTGCCTGCCTTCACTGTCAAATTGTTGGTTTCCGCCTGCAGGTCATCCATTTTGTGTAAAATTAAGCATAAATCGTAAACAAAGTTCAAATCTTCTAGAGTCTTATTGTCGGTCTGATATATTCCTCTCTTCTCGCTTCCTAATGTCTGCCGGACAGTCCAAACCACCTCGATCAGGAATATAATCTTCGATGATAGTAGTCAGCCTTGCTTTACTTTCGCAATCACTTCAAAATCTTCTCTGAGTTTTCCATTTAGCCATTATATATAAAAAGTAAAAACTGGTGATATTTAGTACTAACCAATGTCCTGAAATCCTGAGGCAATCAAGATGCTAAGAACTGGAAAAGCAGCAGGACCAGACGGGATCCCGAGACATCAGCGGGCTTGATGACATCACCAACACTGGAGAAGGTGTGGAAAGAGGGCAAGGTACCTGCAGATTGGAAGAAAGGCTACTTATTCAAACTGCCAAAGAAAGGAGATTTAAGTCAATGCAAGAATTAGCACGGCATTATGCTCCTGTCCATCCCAAGCAAAATACTAAGCCGCTTCATCCTAGAGAGAACCAAACACGCCACCCTGGATGAGAAACTTCGACCGGAACAGGCTGGATTCAGGAGAAACAAGTTATGCATCTATTAAATTGCAACACTACGGATCATCATTGAACACAACTTTGAATTGCAGTCAGCTGTTTATCTCAACTTCATTGACTTTGAAAGCCCTTCCACAGCGTCGATCAAGAGGTGATTTAGAAACCACTTCGCTACTACGGGGTGCCGCCAACAATTATACATTTCATCCAACATTGTACAACAATGCTGCATGCGAGGTAATCCACAGTTGGAAACTCACGGAATCCTTCGAAGTGAAGAAGGGAGTAAGCCAAGGATGTCTACTATCTCCAATGATTTTCCTGATTGCTGCACACTAGATAGTGCAACAGACAGCGGGCAACGAGGAAACAGGCATAAAATGGACCCACACAAAATACTCGGAGGATCTCAACTTCGCCGGTGCGATATATGTCTGATTTCCCACAAACTGGAAAATATGCAAGTGAAAAGCAGCAAGTTGACAGAAGAAGCATCAAATATAGGAAGGACTTAAGGTAAACATAGAGAAGACAGAGGTGATTAAGATTCCTGGCCAACAGCAACAACAACAACAGACAACAATCAACCAGCATAAATGGGAGGAATCTGAAAGAAGCAACCTCCTTTACCTACCTACCTTCCAGGGAAGCATCGTTTCAACTACAAGCGGAACTGATGAGAACATCAAAACGGAGATCGGGAAAGCAAAGCAAGCTTTCATTTCTCTCAAGTCTGTGTGGAGATGAATAGCACTCAACATGAAAAATAAGATCCGGATTTTTCAACTCCAGTGTGAAGTCATTGATATTATATGGATCATAGAATTTGCGCGTCACGAAGGCCATTTCAGACAAACTACAGACCTTCATTACGAGTTGTCTTCGCTCGATACTACTCAAGATCAGATAGCCGGCCAGAAAAGATCAGCGACAAAAATCTCTGGGAGCGAACCAGCCAGGAACCTATTGTGCAGAAAATATTCAGGAAGAAATGGATGTGGATTGGCTGGCCATACTCCGAGAAAGCAAATCATCAAGTGACGTCATATGCCAGGCCATGGCTCGAGTTGAACCTGAATGGAAATCGGCGAGTCGGTCATCAGTGTGAGGGTGACATGGAGGAGGTCATGCGAAGAAGATATGAAAGCATGTGGGCAGACTTGTAGCCGGGTGAAAACGTTGGCAGAAAACAGAACGCAATGGAGAAGTGAGGCTGAAGCATTTTGTTCCTCTAGGAATTAAAGGAAACACTAATTATAATAATAATATTCATTTCTTTCAGTTACTCTAAGTGAAATAAAAGTATCTATATTTTTTTGGTAATTCCTTTATTGATAATTATTTAATTACATAAACAAAATTTCATTAAATAAATGACTACGTTTTTGGGAATTACGTCAATTACGTAAAAGAAGTGAATAGACTATTCCTCCATATTTAATGAACTTGTTCATAGTTATACCTAAGATAATTATAAAGATGTATTTATCCGTATCCAGGCGTCTGGACTATTATCAACCAATTCCTTGAATTGATAAAACGAAAGAAATAATAGACAGACAGTGTTATTTAATTATATTTATATGTGTATGAGGAATATTTAGTGTTAACATAGAAGAGGTAAAACAGAATTCTTAAATTTGACACTTTAATTTCTTTCTGAGTTAAGATATATACATGACAGTTTGACTGGTCAAGTGTACTAACTTCCATCTACTTTCTCACTCTGAATGTTCATTTCTGCTGCTGTTTATGAAAATAATAACTTAGACTTATCTAAAACTGGACAGGTTTGCTCAAAACAAAGTTTTAAAAATATTCTCACGGTAAAACGAGGGTTAAAATACAAGGTCTTGCAGCAGAATACACAGACTTACAACAACAACAACAACAACAACAACACTAGATGATGACCAACGAAAAGAAATAAATGCTCAATAGTTAGTTGGTTCTTAAGGATTAGATCTGTTTTTACGAGTTGATCACAGATTGATGTCAGTTAAAGAATCATTGAAAACCATGGAGTACTAGACACTTGTTTCATCCTAGTTTGGGAATCAAGTCAAGTGTGAGGATGGATATCCCACCCATAACATTGGTTGGCTCCAATCGCGCTAAATCACGAATTGGTAGAAGTTAGAATTCATGGGTTGGTCAGTGAGTTAGGACCATGTGGCTGAATGGTATACAAGCTAGCTTGCCTTGTAACCGGAAGGTCCTGGGTTCGAACTCTGGTGGTGGGTGCGTTCTGCCGATGATCCCCAAACTAGGATGAAACAAGTGTCTAGTACTCCCTGGTTTTCAATGATTCTTTCACTGATATCAATCTGTGATCAACTCATAGAAATAAATGTCTTATTCAAAATGTTACTTGATAACAATTACAAAAAAAGAATTTATCAGAGATAGTATAAAAAAGAAAAAACAGGATATAAAGACGGAGAATGGCGAGAAAGACGATCGCGAACAAAAAAGTGGTCACAATACCATACAAAAATGGGACATCAGAGGCAATTCAAAGAAACCTCAGAAATATTGGGATTCCTACCATGTTCTAAACAACAAATCTAATTAGAAATAAAATAAATCAGCTAAAAGATCCAATAAAGAAGATGGACAAAATAATGTAATTTACAAAATGTCTTCTGCTGAATATCCGAATAAATATGTGAGTCAATCGTCTAGATCCCTCAAAATAAGAGTGAATAAATATAAACACCTAATTAAAGGTCGTCCCACAGGAACTCAAGATTACAACAATTTAGAAAAAATTCGTCCATAGCTGGAGAGGCATGGGACGAAAGCCACAGCACTGATTCGAACTACGTTTGTATTCTGAAATATAATATGAACAAATGGAAAGAGAGACTAATAACAGTATCCATTTTCATTAAGGTCACGCCAGATACTTATAACAAGGGTGACTAAGCACAACTATCAGCAGCCTGGAATATAATTCTGGATACACAAAAATGAATGAATAAAAAGTGAACTTTCAAGTGTTGTTTCATAAAGATTTGATTGGTTACACGATTTCAACATGAACTGATATCAGTTAGAGAACCATTGGAAAACCACCTGAGAGTACTGGACAGCTGTTTCATCCTAGTTTGCGACTCTTCATCAGCACGCATCCACCGCCAGGGTTCGAACCCAGGACCTTCTGGTTACAAGGCGAGCTAGCTCGTAGACCATTGAGCCACTGGAACCCGATCCAATGGCCATTCTGTGAACTCCAACTTCTGTCAATTCACGACATAACGCAACCACTAGTCAGTGTCATTCGTGGCGAGTATTTCTCCTCACATCCGACCTGAACTGTAAATATGAATACAAATCATAAATGTTGGAATTAAAAAACGCTTCCAGCAGTCGGTTCCTAGGCAATAATTTTGCTCGAAATACTACCCAAACAAAGACCTTTTGACTGTATGTAAAGTCTTGAAATATAGTTATAATTTATTTACTGTAATTAGGCATTCTAAATTGATGAAATTATTATGACAATTACGTTAACTGGTGTTCAGTTTAATTCAATTTATCTTAGTGACTTGAGGTCTATAGATGATATCATTCCTGCTCCAACCACCCAACATGAATTCAGAGTGTACTGTGATGGTGTCCCATCAAACATTGTAACCACACTGTAAACGTGACTGAAAGAATTCAGTTTGCATCAAAAGAAGGACTAGGTGAATGACATTAATTACTACCTGGTGTTCAATCAAAGTATCCACAAAAGTCAGTCCTACAGGAGGTCAATCGCGAGCCCGAATAGCTCAGCGGTAACGTCTCTGACTACAGCACTGAGTCACAAGGGTTCGAGTTTCAGAAGGGCCATGAGTTTCTTCAAGACTGCAGATACTTCTTGCTGACTGGTGAGTGCCAACAAGCACAAAACCCAGGTCGAAGACTTCCTGCCTATTGCCTTTAACCATCTACCAGGAATGAGTGTCTGTTAAAGTAACTTCACAGGAAGATTAAAAAACCGTATAAGAATGTAGAGACAATTGAAAATCACTTTCTTCAAGGACATTCATTCAAACTTCAGATTACTTTATATAATGGTAATGATACACACAATATGATACCACACACTGGTTACTTCCTTCAGTCATAAACACCTGAGTTACTGATTAAGTATTGAGATCAATGTAATTTCCTTTTTGACGGAGTTACTCTCTGTCGCCAGAAGTAAATGGCGCACAATCCAAACCAGATGGCTGCCATCTTAGTCAGACTTATAATATTTACGGTAATGGTTCCCCTATATAATCCATAATTCCCATGGAATTAATAGTTTAATAGTAGAAATTTTGTCAACTCTATATATTAAACTAAATTTACTTTCGGTTTCTCCTCTATTTTAGGAAGAAAGCCTGCTGTTCCATACTCGTGTAAAACTCGACGTAGACCATGCTTAGATCTATCCCCGTTAGATAATGCTAGTGTAGCATTTTCTGAGCAGACTGATGTCACCTTTCTTATATTCACGGATAATATTCGACGTGCTCATAGCTTCCGTGATCTTTATATACCAGAGGATATACTACCACCACCGAAAACAATGCTTATTCAACAACGTCAAGCTACAGGTTCCCCTCCACCACGATTTAAGCTAACAGATGATGAATATGCCGCGGTTGATGCAAATATTAAACACTTAGCACGATTACACCATGAAAGGGAACATTTCGAATATGGAAAGCGTCATTTGGCTATTATGCGATCACATTACAAATAGATATTCTACTATGCATACAACGTGTGGTTTCCAGCTCATCAGGTGGATTCTTCTATATTTCTATTTGGATTCATTTGAGAAACAAATGGAGTGAAATGAGAGTAATGCGAAATATATATATCGTCGCTAGTGAATTTTATTCCTACACAAATTATTTGTAATTTATATAATTATTACGGCATTATGCTATGTACAATAATGGAGAAACTTCTTGTACACATATTTCTGTGTGTGTGTGAACCAAACTGGAGAATAAAATATTACTGTTATTAATAATATTATGACTACTATTCGAGAGTAAAAGACAAAGACAACATTCCCCTCCAATTTCATTATTGTATATTTTGATTAGAATTCATGAAAGCTTTATGAAGCGGAGCATATTTATAGTCAGTGCGAATAGGTAAAATAATAGTCATGAACAACTCAGTGTTAGGGGTGGTGGACTGCTTGGTTGAAAACTTTTGAATGCTAAGAATCAATACCTTGGGAAACTATCGGTGATGTGGCTCAAAATCGTTGTCTGCGGCTCAGATGCATTCACTCTTCATGATCTACCATATCTATCAAACCATCACGTGACAACAGTAAAGAATAGACACCACGATCAAATAACCTTGAACGAACCAATCAGATCGCTCAGCATTACAGCCTTTCATTATTTTCGTTGTAAGTTTCACCTTAACTTTAATCATAACCCTACCTTGATCCTATCCTAACCTTAATCCTGAATCAGGATGAAACTTGCAATGGAAATTATGAAAAGCATACATTTGTAATGCTGAGAGATCTGATTGGTTGGTCAAAGATCATTTGACTGTGGTACCTTTTCTTTATTGTTGTCCGTCACGTTGCTCCATGAAAGTTATTCTTTCCCCCATACATTTCTGCTGATTGTAGTTCTTTTGAAAATCTTTTTTGTACCTTTGTGTGCTACATGAAGTATAGCAACTTGAATTGGTGCTTTTCTGTGCAAAGTTGTATGTCCAAACTCATGCGGTCATTCAGTCTGAATAATTAAGGATGCTCAATATCCTAAGTGCGTCGGTGACAGAGTGGTAGAATGCTTGCTAACCACGCCTCATGTGGCCCCGGGTTCGATCCCCGGCTACAGATACACTCATTTACCTCGCTAAGCCAGTAATAATGTAACGGCAGAAGACAAGGGCCAGGCAACAGATCGTTTATTGAGAAAATCAACAGATATTTATACATTTTCATGTACATTATTATTAGCGGAGAAGCAATGTCTTCTTATTGGTTGTTTTCTTGCTGAAGGTTATTCTGCCATCTCTTTGTGGCCGTTTCTTAGAAAGTCAAGCGATATATCTGCGGATCGTATTTGTACACACTAAGTCTGCTGTGGTTAGTTGTTGAGTTCCCCAAAGTTAAGCTTTGTTCTTGTGTTTTTCTCATGACGTAAACATTGACGTAAATTGTTTTCTACAATTTGGGCTTGCAGACAGCTCTCACCACAATAAGACTGGTAAAGAAGAAGGGTTGGGCATGAGGCTAGCAAACCCATCGCGTAAAAAATAAGTGCCACTGCTATCGAAACTTCAAGCTGCCTCTAGCTTGAAGCCACCGTATGTTCCACTGGGAACGTAAAGTAATAAAAGGAGGAGGAAAAACAAAAGGATATCCTGAGTTTCATTGTAATTTACACTTTCCAGGGATATGATCAGTTTGTGTAATGTGTAACTGTTTATAACACACAACTTTCATTTAAAGCAATTAGTTACCTTTTTGAATTACGACAAAACAATAAGAAGACTTAATTTATCTAAAATGTGAAATGTATTTGTGCAGCACAATTCCGACATTATGATCACATATATGCTTGGCATACATACTTATATAAAAGATAACCGAACATAAATGGATCGAAAATTTTTATCAATTTATGTTGAAATGTTTACGTAGGCTATCTACTACTCATTGAGTGAGATAAGTAGTCACAAATACCACTCACACCAACCAGTAGTACTTGTTAGCTGGATTCAAGTGATCTAAACACCGGATGACACAGTTCCACTCATTTGGAGCTAAGGTCATCTGTGGTGTAGCTCGTTTAACTTAACTCAAGGGGCTAAATCATTACCACATATTGTGATCTGAATAATTTCAGTTTCCAATAGAAACAGTGGTGAGTTTTCACCTCGAATTGTGTGAATGGCAAATCACTTTGGGAATAGTGAATCCAATTTATGGAATTACCAATTAGGCCATTTAGCTAGCGAGAAATCGGGCGGTTTTTCAGTGATTCGGCTCTCTGAACTCAGTGAAACGGGTTACAGTGCTGATGAGCACGGCCTAGAACGAGTAGAGTGGCTATTCGGTGTTTAGATCACTTGGATCTGGCCAGGAATCACTACAACTACTCGTCTCAGTCGATCAGTAGTATATAATTTTGTGCATTTGTGTTAGCTTTCTTCATTACCATTCATGGTATCAAGCAGATCACATACTGTGTGTGCTGTGAATTATTTTGGTTTCCAGAGGAAATTGTGATGAGGTTTCACCGTCTCAAACTGCGTAGATTACGAACTGCTAATTTGACTTTCACCATCTTAGAAAAGAGGTGGAAAATTGAGGAGAGATAAAAAAGAAGATTGAAAGTATGACTAATTAAAATAAACCTTAATTCTAAAATTAGATTACCAAGGCTAGATCAAAGCAATAACAAGATATAAAAACAGGCTTGAACCTTTGATTGGACACTAGTAACTAATGTGACGTGTCTAGTCCTTTGTTTAATGCAGACTGAATTCTATCAGTCAGGTTTGCAATGTGGCCACCATTCTATGTAGCTCGCCATCACGGCACACATTGATTTGATGATATTAGATGGTTGGAGGCGATTGGTTGCATTAGCCACATTGCAAACCTGACTGACAGAATTCAGTCTGCACCACAGACAAGACTGGACACATCACACTAGTTACTAGTGTCCAGTCAAAAGTATCCAATGCAGTCCTACATGGGGTCAATCACGAGCCCGAATAGCTCCTCAGTGGTAACGTTTCTGAGTGTAGCACTCACTGGGTGACGCAGGTTTGAATCTCAGAGGGAAAGACATGAGTTCATTCGAGGTTGCTGATACGCCTTGCTGACTGGTGATTGCCAGCTAGCACGAAACCTAGGTCCAAGGCTTCCGGTGGCCGAATGCCACCAACCATTTAATATCAGGCTTCAATCCGTTAAGTTATGTGTGACAGTGACCTGTTTTATGTATGTTTTAAATGACACTGACTATTGAAATCAACTTTACGGCCTGTTTGTTTGCTGCGCTTTACAATAGATGATGTCGGACGTCTGTTTCTGGGATAAATTGAATCCAGTAGTTTTATATGCTCTTGCAGACACTTAGGAATGTGTTCTGTTGCCCTCTGCTATAGATCCAAGTTGTTTAGAACAACACTGATAATAAGAATTTAACACATAGTTGTTCATTTCATTTTTGGGCTAACCAGTAGCGCTCGTTGTTGTAAGGTTCCATAGCAAGAAAGTTGTTATATTGTAATATCTAATCCCTCCTTAAGTAGTAATAATGAAATCAATTGTAATCAAACTTTGTAACAAAGAAGACTGGTATTAGGTATTAGTGATTAGCACAAATATTTGTCTTTTGTACTTCCTCTTTTCGATGATTTCATTTTCATAGCTGTACAATCGCATATATTTATGAATTACAATAGACAATAACAATCAGTTTCCTCGTGTGTCTGTGCATGTTAAAGTTTGACAGTGAGTGGAAATACTAAAGTGCTATAATAATATTGGCGTACAGGATTATGAGTCAAAATTGATTAGATATATGAATGAATGACTAAATAAATAAATAGAGGTCAACCTGAAGTTCAACAGGCAAGTGTGAAATAGATGATCGGAAAATAAAGTAAATTCAGAAATGTGAATGCATGAATATCATATGATGGAGACGACAACAGATGAGTGAAATGTTGTCAAAGTAATAGACTAGGATTACATAAAATGAAATGAAATAAAACAAAAATGGAACATGGCTGAGCAAAGAAGAGCATAGAGGTATTAATTCGTCGATATTACGACATATTGTAGATACTGACCACGCAGCATGTGACACATCGTTAAATATAGTCTACAAAGTCCAACAAAGTTTGCCGAAAGGGATAAGATTGAATTTGTTTTGTATAGCAGAGGCTTTGGGAAAGCCACTGGGTGCGTACTGCCGATGAGTGCAAAACCATACAAAACTTCACCAAGACCTCTACAGAATAAAATATCTTTCCTCCACTGTACCCTGTATCCTAGCCACAGAAATGACCTCCATTAAGTACCTGAAAATAGTGATCACAGCCCGGTTAATAGTGGTATCATGCTCTGTATGTTGTTAGGTTAGAAGTCTTACACATTCAAATTCAAACGACTAGAAAAAAATCTGAGCCAACAAGTGGCAGTGACTAATATCTCTGTAACTGACTCAGTATGACAAATTTTCCATTAGGAATTCGTTTCTTGAAAGACTCAAGGAAAACTTAGCGCCATCTTACTGAGAGCTAAAGACAAACTCATCAACAAACAAATGCTGTCAATGATTCACACCTTTCTTCCACATTTGTTGTCACTGATGTAACCACTGTTATTGGTGATTAAGTGGCTAACGGTATTGACGTTCACTGATAGTACAAAGTATACTAACGTAAGATCTAATACCCACAACTTCTTTAGTATTCGTTCCGCGTAGACCAAAGGCAAAGCAAAACACCAGAGTTAATCGTCCAAATGACGAGATACATTTCGTGAACAAATCGGAATGCGAGATGATTGCTTAGCTAGCTAGGGATCGTGCACGAATGTGACACGATGGAGTACCGAATGGCGTGGATGCTTGACCGGAAGCCTTCAGCTAAACAAGTCGACAGTGAGGGTCAGCATCCAATGTTCAGTGATGAGTGCTGTGGTCAATAATTTTGGGGAATTATTTACCGCTACAATGGTGTCATTCACTTACTATTTCT